TGGATAGTGCCGTCATTCTTGCATCAGAGCGACGTTTTCGTGCACTGGAGATCCTATTGAGCTACCACGACACAACATTGTTTCCCTATCGGTATGCCATATTAAACTCGATACCGCTCTATGTTCAACCATCCGAATATCATGACCTCCTACCGGCAAATGACTATGACACAAACGTAGAGGTCAAACGTTCCCCTAAGACTTGGAGAGACAAAATAGATTGGGTCGAGCAAACGGATGTCCTCAATGCACTCAAGACCTCCATGACGCCAGAAGAGTCAACGTGGCTCGACGAGCCGGATGCAGTCGATGATGATGAATTCCCACGCGAGCGCCGTGATAATCTTCTGACTGCTGAACAACTTACGGCCTGGTATACAACAAGGGCCGAAGCCATTGACTCTCAATCGGGTCTAATGGATAACGCTCTAGCCCTACTTCAGCACGGCGCTTCTCAGGGCGTCCCACGTCTGGACGAATTAGGAGAGGACCTGCTTTTACTTGATCGTTTGATTTACGAAGCACCAGCCCCATCTGAACCCTCCCAGCAAACCGACTGGACTCTTTACCGATGGAAAGCAATGGAACCTCCAGATATTATCAAGGCGTACCTGGCATTCTCAACTGCCGACTCCATTACAACTGATATCCGTCGACTGGTCTTACCCTATCTTTCTGTGCTCGAGGCTCAGAATGAACGTGCCAAGCGTGCAGACTCTCAACTACCGAATCGGCTCCTATATCAATATATCCTCCAAGCTCCTCTCGACCTCGTCGTTTCGATATTTGAAAGCTCCAGACCGGATGTTCCACGTTCCAATCGAATCATACGTGATGATGAGGATGTGGCTCGAGTTGCCCTCGCATACCTATATGGCCTCACCGATGTCAGGGAATGGTCCTTGATGAGTCGCATTTTTGAATGTCAGCCAGACTGGGGTGAAGATCGTGATGAAGATGACGAAGCATATGCGACGTTGTCATCTCTATCAGCCTTCGTGACACCATCTGCATCACGTCCAAGAGCAACATCTGAAGAACTCTTTGTATTTTTAGAGCCACTTCCATCATCTGCACTATCACGACTCTTGGATGTTCTTGATGCTCACCTAGAAGGTGGTGAAATCCTTGCAAAATGGAGGGCCGCGGCGCCTCTCCAGTGGTTCTTGTTGAGTGCAGAAGACCAAACCCAGCAACGAGCAAGAGCTGTCATGATGTCTCGACGAACCGAACGAAATACCGATCTCCTAGAAAACGAAAGTCATTGGAGAGCCTTGATTGACGATATGTTAAAACTAACGTCGACGGGGAGTGAAGGAATCAAGTCGGCTTTTGCCTTGCTCAGTAAAGAGGAGATTGCAAAGATATTCTTCTCGGGGATCTTGAGCTCAGGAGGTGAGTACGGATATAATATTCTGGCCCAGGTATCAACGTATCTATGTAGAATTCGGTATTGCAAAGCGCATCAAAGGTCGAGGCTCTGTAGTTCAATACCTAACTGGTCCAGTGGTCGAAGAAATCTGTCTTAATGTTTCCAGAGAGTTATACGACAATGCGCCTTCTGGAAATATACATCGTGAAGAGATGAGAATGGCATACGAGTGGTAAGTCGACCTATCTATCTTATTAACCATTCTCATCTCTGAACCACTATTCAAGCCTTTCTGTGGCGGCACCTACGCCTCGTATCCAGCAGGAACGCGAGTTTATCGAAGCCACTTCCAAAATTTCCTCCTTCAGCGTCTACATACGACCAGGAATACTTATCACACCATTGGAAATTCGCTTGACCAAGAATCGTTTGGACCTCATTGCACGGGTCCTTTCCAGTACGGATGATGCCTACAAGCACTCCAACGTTATCATGGAATTGGCAGAAAAACTAGGCTACCGAAATGATATCGCTGCACAAGTCAAAATTCTGTCTATGCTTGTTGAAGTCGCACTACAGCACGAGGACTTTGTCAAAGCAGACCTGACTTGTCAACAGATGGTCGAGAGTGCTCGGACTCTCCGTGCTCAGCAAACTGTAGGATCCACCGAAATCTCTACAAAGGAAGAGGCTCTAGAGGTAGCATGGCGGTCATGCTACCAGTTGGGTAAACAAACCGAATTCCCAGACACAGTCGCCAAGCTACGGCTACTCGGGTTCGCTCTCGAGCTCTGTCCATCAACAAATACCCTCGACATACTATCGGCATGGCGAAGAGTCGAGACAGAAGACATTGAAGCCAGAAAGGAGCGCGTAGCGGCCCGAAAGGCAGCTCGTATGTCGGGTGTCAGCCAACAACGACGACAACAATTGGGCTCAAAAGCTTCGGTGGCTGCTGCCGCTGCCGCTGGAACTTTATTGAGCAGCTTGAAAGGCCTATCGCAAGGGCAAGATGCTGCAGCGCAAGTATTGAATCGTGTAACAGCCAACTTCCCCTTCTCCTTTGGAGGCAGTCTTGGAGCCGGAGAGGCGAGAAGTAGTAGTAGAGAAGGCAGACGTAGCGAAGAAAGTGAGCGAGGAGACCGTGATTTCGGACAATTGTTTTCCTTTGGCGATGGCTCTCCTGGTTACAGGAAGAGAGATCAAGTAGCTGCTGGTGCCCGTCAGGCTCTCACAAAAGGCATGGGATGGTTATTGGGAGGGGATGAAGAAGAAGAAAATTAGCTTGATGCGGATCAAACTATTTATTTGAGGTACCTATACATACTAGCAATCCGACTGTATTCATACAGCACATATTCAAAGCATCAGGAAGCCAATCTCGATTGCAATCTGCTTGATCATCAGAACGGCCAAGGTTCGGTTCGGTGTTCATTTGAGTAAGGTATATGATAAGGTACCTTTACATAGGGAATATCTTTACAATAAGATAAGGTAAAAAGCAAAAGGGCAACGTGAAGAGGG